GGAGGAGTCGGGAGGAGAACGGCAAATCTTTATCGATCTATTGGAGCCGGAGGACGAAGACGTACAACCACGCTGTCTGCTCCACACCAACAAATGGCTGTTTTTTTACTGGAGCCAAGGAGGCCAATAATCTACCGGCGGAGGAAGATGATGGCTGGGGAGGCACCCTAGATGGGTTTTGGGGCTTTACAATGTTTAAGAACCATCTGATCTAGACACGATTTATATGCAATTATCAAAAATATATGAAAGTACTCCCCCGTAAAGAAATGTAAGAGCGTTTAGGTTATTAAAGTAGTGATCTAAACATTTTTGTATTTCTTTACCGAGGGAGTATATAGTAAGAAGGTGCCGATGGGACGGTCTTGTCGACCAACAAATGACTGTTTCTTAATCAACAGGGCTGTAATTATACCTTCGTTTAAAGTGTCGCCAAATTCCCGCGTTGTTTATATGCTCTCCCACATGCACGCTACATGTAAAAGGCCTAGTTGGAGCCAAAGAGGCCGTGCTATATACCAGCAGCTCTCTCTCCAGACAAAACGGTACTACGGCAGCAGGTCCTGGTGGTACATGAGAGAAGGAAGGAAATGTTACCAGGTTCAACCCGATCTGATCATTTCTTAACACCAGCGGCGTAGATTAATGATGTGCGAACACGACATAGATACATAGCCCAGGCTTACCAAAGCCACAAATAGAACAGATCAATATACCTAGTGCAGGTAAGATATATACGACTACTATACAGTCTCTACCACAGTATACATTTCATCCCGCGTGTATAGGTCCCCACAGCCACGCGCGCGCGACACAAAACAAAGCGCAGAGCAGTAGAGCCGTACGTACGTGCCCCAGTGAGGCAGTGACGCAATGCAATCATGCCATGCGTTGCGCGCGAGAGAACATTACCGGAACGAGCTCAGTAGCACCGTCTGTCGTGCCACTTGCCTGCCCTAATCTGTTACCAGCTCACCGTTTCAGGAAAAAATTAGCCCCTGCCCAAACACGACGATCGATCTAACGGAATTCCCTGAACCGATGTTGACCGTGCCGACAGCCAGATCCCAAACTAATGCCAGTAGGGCATAGTTTATGGAGGAGTAAGGTGCAGTCTGTTGCCGAGTCCACTCCGTCCCGTCCATATGGCGTGCCAGTTTCATCGGGTGGCGCTACTTCAACGCTTCCTATGTTAATAAAATCCCATTTGCATTTGCATTTGCATGTGTGTAAGATGCGCATGAGTTTCACAGATGTACATGCACAAACATGAATGCAAGTGCAGCTCGAGATCTGTAGTACGCAGAGGCCTCCATCGAATACTGTACGTGTGTTGGATTGGATTCCATTAGTTCCAGCATGAATAATGCACGGCTAGTGAAGATCGTTTGTCTATACTATACCAGATAGATCTAGAAAGCGTAGATGCATGCGAGTATACAAGACCGCCACAGGCTGTAGTAGTTGTTGATCGCGTACTCACTCGATCAGAGAGATCGATCTTGCGCCCAAATTGAATACCGGTGAGAAAGGTGACAGCTAGCTTACCTCGTGTTCATGTCGCGCAATAGTCTGGGGCTCATGTGCAGCTAATTCTAATCTAAACAAGTTGTAGTTAAGCCTTTATTTCGCATGTGCATGGGCAATTATGGCATTTCTCTTCTCATTACCCTATACACTAACACTGTTTGTTTACTGCTCGTCATGATTCACGCACATATTCGTGTCTCTCCTTTGTCCAAGTATGCCGTTAAGTTCCTAACGACCTGCGTATGCATATGCAGTAGCATGGATCTACATATTGAATTACATATTCGTGTCTCTCCTTTGTCCAAGTATGCCGTTAAGTTCCTAACGACCTGCGTATGCATATGCAGTAGCATGGATCTACATATTGAATTTCTATTGGGCTTGAGTGCGAATAATTCTGCCACTTTTTGGCTTTAATCATGCATGCACTGCACTCATGCATGAGAAACAATGACCTGTATTTTTAGTGCCCCGGAGGCGTCAGCCAGCGCTGCCTTAGCTCTTTTAAGCGTAACAAACCTACATGCTAAAGCAAATCCAGTTCGCTTTCTTTAACATGAGTGTGTAGATCTCCGGGTACATATATATCACCAGGCGGCGCATTGTGCCCCTAATTAAACGTACCATATCCCCTGCCCATGAGCCGCATGCATGCAAAAGGATCGGAATTAATTAGCTATAGTGGCCTAATCATGCTTGTCACAGGGCAGATCAAGCTGCAAATTAAATTAAACGGGCACTCGGAAAACAAAAGCTAGCATTACGAAAGATGACAAAACACAGGACGACTTGCAGATGCAGGATATATACAAGGGGAGAGGACGAGCTACACGTGTGGTTACTTGTTAATTTGGCGCTGCTAATTTCCGGAGCTTGTTAACTTGATACTGCGTAGCGACAGTATCTCTGCGGATTTCATAAAGTAAGATTGCGTTGCTTCTAAATTAAACCAGCCGCTACCCTATTTAAGCACAAATTGCGCACCCAGTTGCCAGGCCCCCCTACAATTAGTCAAAACAATTCAAAGCAATGTGTCTTGGCAGTTCTTCATTTTAAATCCATCCATCACCACCCTTTTGGGTCTTGGCCTCCCGCCTATCCAATTCCTTCCTCTTTTGGGGGACCCGAATTATTAGGTGATCGATCCATCCATGAGCCTCATAGCTAATCATCACTACCTAACAATTAGCTCGTCTTCCGAAGAAATGACCAGTAATCAAAACCCTTCTAGTGAGCCACTGTGCTCACCGATGCCCAACTGGTCACTACAGTCTACAGGTACAGGGTCAAGTCCTTACAAGAAAGATGAAGGTGAAACGAACAACCTACGTGATTAGCCTTTAATTTGTTCATCAATAATTTATGTAATCCACCTTCTTCCACCATGAACAACAGTGATGATGATGCTCTTATTGGTACGGGTCCTTTGAGTTGTCAACACTCAACGGTGCCCTACCGTCTGTTGTCATATGCAAGGCAAGCGTGCTTCCAGGCATTTGGAACGTCCATAGATAAAATATATAGTAGTACAAAAAAGGGCCTGATCATTTATTTATTCATGTAGGGTGGTGGTTAAGGCAGCAACGTCTTGGATAACAAGGATCAGCAGTGATCTTGGAAAGCTTCGCTCAATATTATGCTAGGAGCACGTAGTAGTACCA